GCTCCAGTCAGAAACGATGTCCACCGCTCTTTGTGCCAGACTTTCGGCGTCTCGTATCGTGCGGGATGAAGCGTAGAGTGAAATTGTGAGATTATCCGGAAGTAGTTTCGCCAGTTCGTCGATATAAAAAAGGAAGAGGATGGGTGCCAGGACGGAACCCTGTGGGGGGCCTTGGTTCATTTTCCTGCTATTACTCAGTATTCCGTTGAATCGGACTCTGGCTTGACGATATTGAAGGAAGTCATTCAGCCATAAAACGTATGTATCTGGGATACCTCTGTCTAGTAGGGTGTGAAGTAGGCGTTCTCGCCAGACTGTATCATATGCCTTTGAAAAATTGAGGAGGACGAGTACCGATTTCTCCATCGGAAATCTTCTATGTAATTCTCAGAATTTGGTCTTCCACACCTCTCCCCGAAACCAGCCTGCAGTTCTGAGAACCAGCCGTTCCGCCCGGCCATGTCGTACAGTCGTTCAGATACCATTCGCTCCATAACTTTGATGCCACAGGATGTGAGGCTTATCGGTCTAAACGACGTTAGTTCCGATGATGGTTTGGTGGTCTTGAGGAGGGGGACAATGATGGCGTCTTTCCAGACTTGTGGGACATCAGCTGAGCGAAATGACATGTTGAAGATGGAGAGCAGTTTCTTCAGCGCTTTGGGACCCAGGTTTTTTAGGAAGGACGGAGGGATGTTGTCTGGTCCGGGTGATCCGCGGGACTTCATCTTTGCAGCGGCATTTCTCAGTTCCCCGATAGTGAAATCGGGCTAATTTCCTGTCGGCAAATAATCATGGCGTCAGGTTTTTATTTATGCTCTGCAGTGAACCTCGTTGTTGTTGTTGTTGTTGTTTATGTCGTTGCTGTTTCTGCTGCGCATACACATCTTTAATTTCCTCGTCTTCCAGTGAAGGGGGAAATAGATTGCCGACTGCACCCTTTAGAACAGTTCCCAAACAGAGGACGTTTCCAAATTACTATGGAATATCCCTTTTACTTTCCAATTAATGATAATTGATAGTCTTTCCGGCCACTCCTTATGATACCTTAAAAGAAATTACACAAAATTGTGCTTTTGGGAGGAGGCAAATTGTTTTGTTGTTTTTAGTTTGTTTAAACAGGGACAAAAACAGTGAGAAAATGCAAGAGAGACTGAGAGTGTGAAGGGAAACACAAATCTAACATTCAGCTCATAGTGTTGTGAAAATATTCATAAGAGCAACACCAGTTTCTTGAAAGTATGTTTGTAAGATTTTTAACTACTTCGTTACGTTCCCGTTTTAAGACCTTTGTGATTACTGAAAAAAAATAGAACAGTTGTAAAAGACGGTAACTGACAGAACACACTGTAATGTCTTACAATGGTAACACTGTAATTCAGCATTACTTCATTTATTTCAACTTTAATTGATCAGAACGCTTGGAACACACGTTAAGAATCACATTAAATGCAGTCATTTTGAAAAAAAAAAGTACTTTATAATACAAATTCGTTACGTTCCCGCTTAAGACTCTACCCAATTATTAAAGAATTACAAAACTCAATCACGCAGAGGATGAAACCAATTGGGGCACAAAGCATGGACTTTTACAACTGTCGAGTATCAACAAACGTGCCTCTTCCTTCCTTCCGTCAATCTTGGCGAAAAGGTGCAAGTCTCTCTCTCTCTCTCTCTCTCTCTCTCTCTCTCTCTCTCTCTCTCTCTGTCTCTCTGTCTCTCTCTCTGTATATATATATATATATATATATATATATATATATATATTATATATATACATATATATATATATATATATATATATATATATATATATATATATATATATATATATATATCTGTCTGTCTCTCTCTTACCTTCTCTCCTTCTTTTTTTTTTCTCTCCTCTCTCTATATGTACCCCACTTCTCCCCAATCTGTTTCATACACTTTCTCTCTTTCTCCCTCTTCCCCACCCCTCTCTTTCTCTCTCTCTCTCTCTCTCTCTCTCTCTCTCTCTCTCTCTCTCTCTCTCTCTCTCTGTGCGTGTGCGTGTGTGTGTGTGTGTGTACGTGTACGTGTGTGCGTGTATGTGTGTGTGTGTGTGTGTGTGTGTGTGTGTGTGTGTGTGTGTGTTTGTGTTTCTCGCACACATACACACGTAGACACGTAGACATACACACTCACACTAACAGACATACAGGCAGATATAAAAACACACATACACACAGTTACACATGCACATACACACTGACGCAACACAAACTGTAATTAAACAATAACGTCAACAAACAGCCATGCAAAAAGACTTGATCTAGTACAAACCAAAACACATTTAAAGTTACAAGTCTTAAACTGAACCTAAGACAAAAAAGCACCGTCAGCAGAAGGATGCAAGTAAATATTTTGTTTTTCTCTTTAACTGCGCAGATTCTCAAACGACGTTCCACAACACAAACTGATGCAATACATAATTATTTTCTAAACTCAGCCTTAGACAAAGAGCACTCGTCAGCAAAAAGCTGCCAGTACACATTATGTTTTTCTTTGTTACTGCGTAGATTCTCAAACTGCGTTCTACAACACAAAATGATGCAACCCTTATTTTCTAGTTTTCCCATGACCTTGGCGTTATGAAAACTTGTTGACTTTACAATACTTTTCATCTCACCCTGTAAACCCGGAGAGTTGCTTCTTTCTTTTTTTCTTTCTTTTTTTAAAACTAATTTTCAGAAAAACGGTGTCTCAGAATTTTGCAAACATGATAAGCGTCCGTATCCTGCTTCCCGCCAGATATCCTCTTGATGTGGCGCGTTTTATCCTAATTCTGCCGTGATCTGACAAAACGCATTTTTCTCAAAATCAAGGTTTCGAGATAATCGCGATTGAGTGTTTTTTGCTAATTAAACAAACAAATTTCAATGTTGTTTTTGTCTGACTATCCGACATAAAAATATATATCATTTACCATGACTATACCAAATTTGATTGAATTTGAGCTAAAGACAAACAAACAAACAAGAAGAATGCGTTTTATCAGATCTTCCTTGTAGAAATGCGTTTTATTTTCAACGCATTAATCCCTGAATGATCTGATAAAACGCATTTATTTTCTGCGTCTCGTTAACTGTGATCTGGTAAAACGCATTTAAATGCGTTTTATCAGATCATCACTAGAGAAGTCTTGTGTTTTGCTTCCATATTCACTGCTGGTTAAACGTATTTTCTACGGCTGCAAAAAGGGTATTAAAATTTCTTGTTCAGATTCTGTTCTACAATGTACATACAAAAGCTTTTACTGAAGAAGAAGAAGAAGAAGAAGAAGAAGAAGAAGAAGAAGAAGAAGAAGAAGAAGGAGAAGGAGAAGAAGAAGAAGAAGAAGAAGAAGAAGAAGGCGGTGGAGGAGGGATAAGAGGAGGGGGAGGAAGAGGGGTTGGGGAGGAGTCTGCTCTGTAGGGTCAGCATTCGGAACCGTGGCTGACCAGATAATAATAATATAACTTAATAACGCGGCACAACTCCCGGGCCATCTCACGAGCATCGTCCTCTTGTCGTTGTTTTGTCTTAGTCTTTTTTTTATACTTGAGATGTTGGGCAGTAATTTATTGATACTGCTCACACTGGTAATGGTAACGAAAGATTCGGTCACTTTAATCCAGCTATTAATTCTGGTGAGTGAATATGCCATTCGGGGATTTAAATGCGTACGGAATTCGTTTCTTGACCACCAGTTTATTGAAAAGACATGTGGTGACTCTTTCAACATGAATGCACAACAACGGTTCAAAGAACTTATGAAAAGGTATGTTGCAATCATGTTATTTTCATTGCATTTGAGGGAGCTTTGATTAAGTTGTCGTGGCTCCTGTTTTACCAGTCTTGAGTCGGGAACATTTTAATGGTCTGGAGTGACTGTACAGGTAATGCTTTTGAAGAAGACAAATAAGTGACATGTCATTTGAGTTTATTTTTGACACTTGCACCACTGTTGACGAGTTCCTAAAATATTCGTCTAGGTGTAAGACTGTTGTTAAAATGAAATGAACTATTCAGCCAAATCACAAGGACACCTCCACTTCTTGTTCGTTTTTAAACACGTGCCTTTCAGGAAAATCGTCCAAGAGCATAAAGACGATCACAGCTCTGACGAAAGTTATGAACCACCTTGGTAAAACGTCGAAATTTGCAAAAAATCCAAAGATCAGTAGCCACAGCAGCCTCCGCTATAGAGGTTCCAGCTTTCTCTGGTGCTGAGGTGATCACTGGTCCATCAGATCCCCATGTTCCTACCCCTGTAAAGAGTGCACATCGACGCCTTCATTTTGGCGACGATGATTCTGGTGAAAGTGAGCATCTGTCAGAGAGTTCAGGTGTGTCAAATCCATTCGCTGACTCGAGCGAAAACAGAGAGTTCGCTGAACTGTTGCCAGTTGCAACATCAACTCCAGTCCATTGTTCCTTGACTCAGCATGAACCAACTTCAACGCCGATGGTGGGAGAGCGCAGGTCTTTGTCTGATCTCCTGTCTGAATTTGACAATGTTCCATCTCCTTTGTGACCGATGCCGCCTTCGCAACAATCATTAAAATTTGAAGAAAGCAAAGTGATTCTCGAGAATACGACTTTCATTTCTCAAATTGTCTCTTACCCAAAATGCAGGCGAACCACCATTCTGTGTCTCTGAGGAAAGTCAGTCTGTTGCATCACCAGTGCAACCCATATCAGCTTGCCCAACAGACTTTCTGCCATTGTCACAATATCAGTACTTATTCCCTTTATCACCAGGTCAACTTGAAGAAACACCCTCTATCTCAGATTAGCTGTACCACACTCAACCCCTTCGTCTTCAGATCAGCTGTACCAAACCGCCTTGTCTCCATCACCCACGATAACATCCGTTGCATCTGAAAGACGAGAAGTACCACATTTTACTCTTAAGGAAAAGCACACCATTCTTCCTCCTTGCAACTGTAGAATGAACTGCATCGTGAAAATCTCTCAACAAAGACGTCAAGTAATTCATGAGGAGTTTTGGAGTCAACCCTCTCATGATCGCCGAAATTGGATTTTTCAACTCCGCTCGAAGACTAAAAGTGACGTTTCCAAATTCTCGTGTACGCTCTCAAAAGACTGAGGTAAACAGGTCGTCGTCTGCTCTGTGTTTTTTCTGCACACCCTCGGATACATCCTATTCCGTATTCAACAGTTAAAAAATCTCAGGTGCTTCTGCAAGAGACTTGTTTGTCCCTAGAGACAAAAGGGGTGCAAAAACACCTTCCCACGCCTTGACGGGAAGACTTTATTGCCGCAATAGACTCACACATTGAAGACATTATTGCCGCAATAGACTCACACATTGAAGACATTATTGCCGCAATAGACTCACACGTTGAAGACATTATTGCCGCAATAGACTCACACATTGAAGACATTATTGCCGCAATAGACTCACACATTGAAGACATTATTGCCGCAATAGACTCACACATTGAAGACATTATTGCCGCAATAGACTCACACATTGAAGACATTATTGCCGCAATAGACTCACACATTGAAGACATTATTGCCGCAATAGACTCACACATTGAAGACATTATTGCCACAATAGACTCACACATTGAAGACATTATTGCCGCAATAGACTCACACATTGAAGAGTTCCACGCCTTGACGGGAAGACATTATTGCCGCAATAGACTCACACATTGAAGACATTATTGCCGCAATAGACTCACACATTGAAGACATTATTGCCGCAATAGACTCACACATTGAAGACATTATTGCCGCAATAGACTCACACATTGAAGACATTATTGCCGCAATAGACTCACACATTGAAGAGTTCCACGCCTTGAGGGGAAGACATTATTGCCGCAATAGACGCACACATTGAAGAGTTCCACCCTTCAGTGAGCCACTACAAGCGAGAACATGCTCCTAATAGGCGATTTTTGTCATCGGACTTAACCATTCGTGAAATGCACACTCATTTCACAGAGACATATCGCTCTCTAAAGGCAGGGTACAAATCCTACCGTAGGCGAGAGCAGCTAAATCTTTTAAACGAGATGTGTGAGATATGTCTGACTTTCTCACACCATAAGCTCCAGCCGCCCGGAATGGACACAGACTTGAGACGTGTCAACTGTACACAGCCCACAAGAGATGGGTTGCATCAAATTGTAAACACTAAGACAAAGATAGAGAGAAAGGCCCTGAATTAGGGTCCGAGATCATTGTATCAGCGGACATGCAAAAGGTCGTTTTGTTGCCTTTCATGCGGGGCGTCAAAAGCTGCGTCTTCAGAAACTGCCAAGTAGCTTTCCACGAGACGTTCGCACCCTTAGGACAGCAGGCGAAAAAGAAAAGCCCAAAGCAAGTCAGATCTGTCCTCTGGCATGAGGCAACGTCCGGGAAAGTCTGCCTCCGGCGTTACTTCAGCTTTGGTTATAGCAATTGGTGACATGGCTGAGGATGCAAAGGACATCATTATACAGTGTGATAATTGTTCAGGACCAAATAAAAATTGGTATTTGTTCACGTCCCTGGCAAGGCTGTTAAATGACAGCAGCAAACCTTTTCTCCACAGGGTCATTTTGAAGTACCTTGAAACGGGTCATACATTCATGTCCTGTCACTCGTTTCATGGTAAGGTTGAGAGAATATGAGAAGGAAGGGAAATATTTTCGGTTTTACCGATTTTGTGGCGACAGTGCAGACCGCTGGTGGGGGCCCGAAAGTATTTCAAATGAACTATCCAGACTTTGTAAATTGGGACAAAAAGGTCACTTCAGTGACGCATGTGAACATTCCACGTATCAAACAGATGCCAGCAGTGAGTTTTTTTTATCTGCGTATCGACCATACGTCAACTGTGATCTGATGGAACGCATTTTTTTGTCCATCTCGGGAAGGAAAAAATGCGTTTTACCAGATCACAGGTGATGTGAACGGTCGATACGCAAGAAAAAAATGCGTTTTGTCAGATCATCTCTGAAAAAAATGTGTTTCATCAGATCACGTTGGAAATAAATGCGTTTTAACAAATCTAAAAAGCTAGTTAATTTAAAAACTAGTCGCACTTAGGCTTTCATAATTATATCTCAAGTTGGCTTTGGACATGTAGAATTCATTAGTGGAATAAAAAATTTACGCGCCAAAATGAAAAAATGCGTTTTGTCAGATCATGGCAGAATTCTCTGTAAACCTATTTTATGTTTTCTGTGCGTGTTATCTTCCAGCATTTATTCCCCCATTTTCCCTCCCCCAAAATCTTACGAGGACCCATCTAAATCTCCAAACAAGAGTGCTAACGTTAAAAGTGCTGTTTCAACTAATTTTGTTTTTGTTTTTTTGTTTTGTTTGTTTGGAAAAGTGTCTTGCCATTCTTTGTTGTTGACGCTAGCCTATCCTGTATAAATGGACGACAACTGAGTAGCTCAACTATACAGAAGCAGCGACTGTATTGTAAGTAAGCACATTCTTTTTTAACTCTTTAAGAACGTAGCAGGCACTTATGTCCGGTCAGCAACAGACCAAAGGCGATGTTACGTTACATTTTGATCCATCAGAAGCAGATCAGAAACACATCTGATTCTGGCATTGTACATGTATCTATATTCCTGTTTGCCTTTGTACCATTCAGAACAGAAAAAGGAAAAAATGTGTATAAATAAGGAGGATACATTTCTTTTTTAATCACCCCAAAGCAGTGCATCTTCAAACATTGTCAAAGATCAGAAAGCAAGTCCTAAATGGATTGAACAAGTACGTGTATCTTTGTTGTTTAAATATCAATCTCAGGAATTGTCTTTAAGCACTTTTGGTGACTTAGCTGAACAGACCATGTTCCCTCTAACATAGATGTTAGATTTTCCAAAGTTGGAAAGTTTATTTTGTTTTCTCTGAAACACTAATGTTAAGATAAGTAGGCAGTTTTCCCTGTGTTTAAGGTCACTGTCTACATTGCATAAAGTATGCACATTTTACAAGTGAGAAACTTCAGTGAAACATAAAAGTGGAGTAAAAAATCATCAATAATTTTTTGAGATTTGAGTATTTGGAGATACGTTGTAATCTCCATATAATTATTCAAAGGCAAGCTGTGAGTTTTTAACAAGGCTTTAGTTCCAATACAGTGAGAGGTTGTTGATATACTCTGCTACTTCTGGAGAAGGAATTGTGAGAGAGGACAAATTATAACTGCTACTGACTACTTCCTCTATGTTCTGACACAATAACCAACACGCTTACTGTAGACTTCCCTGTGAAATAACTAATTTGCTTTCTACACGTTAAAAAACAATGCAGCTGAGTGTATGCAGGTTATTAATTAGTCGAAATACATGGCAAAATAAAATACCAACCAATTTGCTTTTATGCAAATTACAAATGCTATGATGTTCAAACTGTACAAAACGTACAGCACTAAATATTTCATATTTTAGTTTCATTTGAAGAGTTAAATAATCACCATGTATGGAAAAGGAAATAAAAAAAACCTTTGTCAACTCTACAAACGCTCAATAGAGACTACAAACTTAGATGCTTTTTTAAGTTAGTCTGAAGCCCTATCACAAAGAAGTTTGGAAGCAAGTCATGATCCTCTAAATGTAATATCCTATTAACAAAAAAATGTTACCAAACCCAAAGAAAAATGTGTGTATTATAATACATGCACATTGTTAACCCTATGTAAGGTCCTGGTATTACCGCCTTCATCATCATCATCATCATCATCATCATCATCATCATCATCATCATCATCATTGTATAAAGAAGGTATTAAAACACTTAAGACCTTGTTGTATTTCCCAAAAAATATTTTTTTTCACAGTTCAACGTTTCGCCAATAAGGCTTCAGCAGGAACATAGTATTTGAGAAAAAAATAAATGGGTGATGACGCCACAGCAACAAAGTGTTCACTATAAGTTACGTATTGGTGTGGTTTGGACAATATCGGAAATATCTCCATCATCATCATCATATACACAGGCTATAAAAACTAAGTGCGTACATAAATGTCTGAA